GATCCTTCACCATCTCACAACTTCAAATTCTTTTAATCCTTCAAGTTCTCCAGGTTCTTTAGATTTTCCTGATCCTTCAATCTCTTCTGACCCTCCAAGTTCTCTTTAAGTTCTTTAAGATCTCCAGATCTTTCAAGTTCTCCAGATCTTTCAAGTTCTCCAGATCATCCAAGTTCTCCTGATCCTTCAAGTTCTCCTGATCCTTCCAGTTCTCCTGATCCTTCTAGTTCTCCTAATCCTTCAAGTTCTCCTGATCCTTCCAGTTCTTCTGATCCTTCTAGTTCTCCTAATCCTTCAAGTTCTCCTGATCCTTCCAGTTCTCCTGATCCTTCTAGTTCTCCTAATCCTTCTAGTTCTCCTAGTCATTCGAGTTCTCCTGATCCTTCCAGTTCTCCTGATCCTTCTAGTTCTCCTAATCCTTCAAGTTCTCCTGATCCTTTAAATTCTCCTGATCCTTAAAGTTCTCCGAATCCTTCAAGTTCTCCTGAACCTTAAATTTCTCCTGATCTTTCAAATTTTCCTGGTCATCAAAGTTCTCCTGATCTTTCAAATTCTCCTGATGCTCTATGTTCTCCTGATCCTTCAAGTTCTACTTATCCGTTAAACTCTTCTTATGCTTCAAGTTCTCCTAATTCTTAAAGTTCAACTGGTTATTCATGTTATCCTGATCCCTAAAGATCACCTGATCCTTCAAGTTCTCCTAATCTTTTAAAGTTCTCCTGATTCTTCAGGTTCTACTGACACTTCAAGTTCTCCTGATCTTTCAAGTTCTCCTGATCTTTTAGGTTCTCCTCATCTTTCAAGTTATTCTGATCTTTCAAATTATCCTGATCTTTCAATTTCTCCATATTCTTTAATTTTTTATGATCTTTTAAACTCTTCTGATGATTAAAGTTCTCCGAGTTCAGCAAGTTTTCTTAATTCTACAAGTTCTCCTGATCCTTCAAGTTCTTATGATCTTTCAAGTTCTTCTGATCCTTTAAGTTCTCCTGATCCTCTTAGTTGTTCTGGTCTTTAAAGTTTTCCCTTAAGTTCTTCTGATTCTTTAAGATTCTTTAAGTTCTCCTGGTTCCTCAAGTGCTCTAGGTTCTTCAAGGTGCTCTCACTCTTTCCTTTGAAATGATTGACGGTTTCCACTCCTGCATCTGTCAAACCTGAGAAAATATTTGTGTATTTGCGCAACTTCACCCCAACTCCCTGCAATCATTCTCAACCCTCGGTTTCCTTTCTACAAAGTTAAGTGCTCAATGTGTACATTTGCACACACAGGGTTTGTTTTAGTTTCACAAACATTAGTATCTTCTTACATCTTGTTAAAACATTTTATAAGTTTCTATTGTAAGCAAGAAATGCAATGAAAGATAAATAATGAATGTCGCAATTCTCAACCATATTTACAGACAGGATAGATAGCTTCCCTGTTCTCCTCTCCTTCTGTTTATCCTTGTACCCGGAGCAGAAGATTAGGTTTCCGTGAACCAATAAATATAGAGGAAACTACTAATGTTGGCAAACATATTGATTACCGGAAAAGCTTTAGATTTATGTAACAACGCCGTTCAACGGAATATGTATAATACAGTTCTGCATCTGCCTTTCTCGTTACAGTGGGACTCATAAAACTGTGGAATAGGAATACGACACTTAAGAAATCTTATGTGTATTTAATGTTTTTAAATATCAAATAGTTTATCAGTAGCTTGAAAATCAACTAATGAAGAGTCTGTGGACGTTGTTTTGTTTTATGTTCATTGCACTATTTAAACTCATAACTTAAAGGGAATGTAAAGGAAAATGAAAGGGGGGTATAGGCTGAAACTTAAGTTACTTAGGAATTGATCGAAACCCTTGCGAGTTCTGGCTGATGTTTCTGTCTCGAGAAATTGACTTAAAACTGTGTCAAAATTATACCAAAACGTATATATGTAAGAAATACGTCAATATCACGTGGCCAGAACTGCCTCCAATGACAGTGCAGTATACTGGTCATGTGATACAGGCTGGAGGCACGTGACCATAATACTGCGCTGCCATTGGTTGGAGTGCTGGTGTCATGGTCCGGACGTATAAATAATATTATCAATTATATCTATTAAAATAAAAAATAAATTATTATATTCAAACAAAAATAGGAGCACACCTGAGTTTCTCAGGCTCCTTTGGAATATCGTCGTTTTCAGATTGGTTGCGTATTTATTGAATATAATCTGTTTAATATTACGAATCTTATACAAAATCTTACATATATTCGTGTTGGTATAATTTTGACACAGTTTATATCAATTTCTCGAGCCAAGAGCATCAAATAGAACTCTTATAGGTCTCAATCAGCTCCTGAGATTTTCAGGTTTCATCCTATACCCCCTTTCATTTTCCTGATCAGTCCCTTTAAGTCTAACAGTTTTCCTTCCTATTCCACAGTATATTAGAGTGCAAAGACGGTTTGAAATGTTTACTGTGTTTAATTCTTTTATTTTCTTGCAGGTATGTTTATCTTGTGTTGATATGCTAACCATTACAGAGAATTTCTCTCATAATCAACTTAGTATTCCAGATAGTCGTTGTCAAAATATAGTGGAATAGTAAACGACATTAATATTGATTTGAATCTTATATCTATGAGAGAAATAAGTCAACTTAAGGAACTAAGTTTTTTCTACAAAGTCTGGTGTTTTAATTCCTATAATCTCTGCAACCCGATGTGATAGACCTCAGATATTTCAAACTATGAATTCTGTCTGATCAAATATTCTAACTTTGAAAGAGGTTTCTATCATCAAGTTAAAAAGTTATAGTGATAAGAAAATATGTGGCAAAAGCTCAACTCCTTGGTCTATTTGTCTACAATGCCTTTTTTGCGTTTTTAATACAAACGTCCAAATTTCAAAGCTGTATCCCATATTTTATTCTAGCGAATTTAAATGGGTTCTTACAAATTTGAGACTGTGATAAGAATCTAAAAACCTGAAGCATGCATTTCTTTATGTTGTCTTTTACATTTTGAATCTCCTTACTAAACTAGCTACAAATATTAGCTCTAATGAAAAGCAAAAAATATGCGTAATTCTAAATTAAACTTACAATCTAAACAGCTATCGTTGAAGTCCCTCAATTTGTGTATGTTTCTTGATATCATCTTGAGAGTAAATATTTGTATAGAAAATTCACGCAACCTCACTCTCATCAATCCGGGTTGAAACTAGTTCGGGTTAAATTGGACCGTTTAAAATTGACTTTAAAATAAAATTGAACAAATTTTGTTCGTTTTTCTAATTTATTGAAGTTTTGGTAATGAGAGCTCAGGTTGGTTTTCTGGGGGGGGGGGTCATGAAGATAATAGACCTCTAGAGTATGAGACGTAATGAAGGGTATAAGGGGTGTACTAATGACCACAAATTACGGGGCCGGAATACCACCATGAGACAAAAATATGACTCAAGCTTTCATTTTTTGCCTCACTTTGTTTTCCTGAAGTTATTTCCAAATATAATTTCGGATTTTTTTCTATTTGTCTCATAAAGGAAAAAAAGGTTCATAAAACAAGAAAAATCAAGCAATTTTGAGTGTTTGAATAAAAATTTTGTTGAATTGTACAAATCAGATTAAATTCTCAAAAACTTCCAACTAAAGTAAAATAAACGAAATATGAAAATCGTTTTTTGTTTTCAATTATAACTTCTCTCAATAAAACTATTAAAATTTTAATATGTACCCGGATAAGTCGTCGCAATAATGTTAAGTTTTTTAGTTTATCCAGTAAAATAGAAATTAGAGAAGATTTGTGGTGTCCATCACTCTGTAATCTCAAAACATTATGTTTTTCTGCCCGGGTCATATCTATTAATCTACCCGGGTCTTATCTATTTATCTGCCCGGGTCTTATCTTATTTATCTGCCCTGGTCTTATCTATTTATCTGCCCGGGTCTTATCTTATTTATCTGCCCTGGTCTTATCTATTTATCTTCCCGGGTCTTATCTTTTCATCTGCCCGGGTCTTATCTATTTATCTGCCCGGGTCTTATCTTATTTATCTGCCCTGGTCTTATCTATTTATCTGCCCGGGTCTTATCTTATTTATCTGCCCTGGTCTTATCTATTTATCTTCCCGGGTCTTATCTTTTCATCTGCCCGGGTCTATATCTATTTATCTGTTCGGGTCTCCTCTATTTATCTGCCCGGGTCTCCTCTATTTATCTGCCCGGGTCTTATCTATTTATCTGCCCGGGTCTTATCTTATTTATCTACCCGAGTCTTATCTTTTTATCTGCCCGTGTCTATATCTATTTATCTGCCCGGGTCTATATCTATTTATCTGCCCGTCTATATCTATTTATCTGCCCGTCTATATCTATTTAACTACCCTAGTCTTATCTATTTATCTGCCCGGGTCTATATCTATTTATCTGCCCATCTATATCTATTTATCTGCCCGGGTTTTATCTTTTTATCTTGCCGACACACTTTTCAGTTAATTCTGTATACTTTATAAAGTATGCTTGTATTTTCATATAGTTTCTTCTAGAACATCCAGTAGATTGGAATCCAAAGAAAACAACAAGAAGAGAAATATTCAAAATATGTTTCAAAAGAAGAGAACAAAAACGATTTCAAATATTATAACATGTATCTTTCGGCTGAAATGGTGGGGAGGGGGGCTGGGGGGGATAACATGTAAATAAAGAAAATGTAATGTACTGTGTTTCTTTTGTAAATATTCCAAGTGTATGAAGTTATGGAATTCTGTTGAAAGAATGACAAGAAATAATTTTGTTTTTCAATACAAAAATATTGAGATGTTCATTGTTCAATTGTTCATTGACATGACTTGGAGATACATGCTAATATATCTTCAGAATGTTTAACTAAAAGCCAGCCCCTCCCCCCCTTGAACTGGTTTTAATTGAAATATTGATACAAAATGTAATATTCAAGTCATGATTCAAGATTTAGCATTTTACAATTCTAAGAATTTGATTTAGATTGTCTGCATTCTCTCAGTTTATGATGGGTTTAAAATTTTCCCAGGTTTACGCTGGGGTTCAACTTTGTTTACTCCGGTAGGTTCAGCTTGTATAGTGTTTACTCCGATAGGTTCAGCTTGTATAGTGTTTACTCCGATAGGTTGAGCTTGTATAGTGTTTACTCCAGTAGGTTCAGCTTGTATAGTGTTTTCTCCGGTAGGTTCAGCTTGTATAGTGTGTACTCCAATAGGTTCAGCTTGTATAGTGTGTACTCCGGTAGGTTCAGCTTGTATAGTGTTTACTCCAATAGGTTCAGCTTGTATAGTGTGTACTCCGATAGGTTCAGCTTGTATAGTGTGTACTCCGGTAGGTTCAGCTTGTATAGTGTTTACTCCGCTAGGTTCAGCTTGTATAGTGTGTACTCCAATAGGTTCAGCTTGTATAGTGTGTACTCCATTAGGTTTAGCTTGTATAGTGTGTACTCCAGTAGGTTTAGCTTGTATAGTGTGTACTCCAATAGGTTTAGCTTGTATAGTGTGTACTCCAATAGGTTTAGCTTGTATAGTGTGTACTCCAATAGGTTCAGCTTGTATAGTGTGTACTCCAATAGGTTCAGCTTGTAAAGTGTGTACTCCAATAGGTTTAGCTTGTATAGTGTGTGCTCCAATAGGTTTAGCTTGTCTAGTGTGTACTCCAATAGGTTTAGCTTGTATAGTGTGTACTCCAGTAGGTTCAGCTTGTATAGTGTGTACTCCAATAGGTTCAGCTTGTAAAGTGTTTACTCCGGTAGGTTCAGCTTGTATAGTGTGTACTCCAGTAGGTTCAGCTTGTATAGTGTGTACTCCAGTAGGTTCAGCTTGTAAAGTGTTTACTCCGGTAGGTTCAGACAACAAAAAAAAGATAATGTTTAAAGATGAGATAAAAAAAGAGATTTAATGATAAAGAGATAAGATAAGAAAGATATTCAATGTTCAGAAGATATTTAAAAAAAGATAGATAATGTTTAGAAGATAAGAATGACATATTATAAGAGATTTAATGTTACAAGTTTTGATATAAAAAGAGAATTAATGTTTACAAGATGAGATAAAAAAGATAAATAATGTTTAGAAGATGAGATATAAAAGAGATTTTATGTTTAGAAGATGAGATATAAAAGAGATTTTATGTTTAAAAGATGAGATATAAAAGAGATTTTATGTTTAGAAGATGAGATATACAAATTAAAATTTCCAAATTCCTCTGTATATTTTCTAGTTCTAGTTGGGGAGGGGTTAGACTAGACTACTAACAAAAACGTTAATAATATTCAGACTTTTTATCTAATAGCAATATAGGAAGAGGGGGAGGGGGTAAGGAGTATGTCTGGTAGAATGGGGAGATAGCATCATAAAAATTGTAAATACATATTTCTGGTCTGAATATGTTCTGATATATAACAACTATGTAATCGTTAACATATACCCTAGAATTATAACACTGATAAAGATGCATTTGTTTTTGTGTTTTCTTTCACTCATTTACCCCTCTCTACCCTAAACCTGGAAACCACTGTGTGAGGTCGGGAGGGAGGGGGGCTGCATCGATGATGTATAAAGAATACATTATGTTTTCAAATTTAATACTACTGCTGGTTCAGTAATTATTATCATGAAAGGTAATAAATATAATCACAAACATGGGTTTTCACAGACCCTTACAATGATTTTTTACAAAACATTATGTACGTCAGAATTGGACAAATTATACATTATTCTAATAAGAGATAAAAAATCTCTTTTAAAAGTATGCAAGATCAGAATATGTAAAAAAGAGAGGAGTGGAGATTATCACCTTTCAAAATCCTCCCTCCCTGCTTCCAATTTCCCCATCTCGCTATTTGAACGATAAAAATGCTTTCATGCAGAATTTCTTCTTTTTTTTCTTGGTAAAGAATACCAGGCATACTACACGCATTCAAAGCATACAAGCCATTCCGGGCTTCGATAGGGAGAACCCAGAGGGGGACTTGATGAAATAGGAGGGATTGGAGGGCGGGGAGGTGGGGAGAAGAGGGGGGAGTTACTAGATTTCATTAAATGTTTTGAAAGATAAATACGTGTCCTCTTCACACAATGTATTACTATAAGATGATGCAGAGTGAAATTAATTCAAAAGATCGGCGGATTGATTAAAAACCGCCGGTTCACTCCCGCCCTCTCACTGGGAGTGTTGTCTCACCGCCCCTTAGGGAGTTCAAATCAAAATTGAATTCGGTTTTTGCTTCTTGATTCCTCTACGTGTATTCATTCCTTCTACAGATACCTTTGTTCTTTAACTATACCATGCAGGTCACATACATACAATATAATTAGTGTATATTTACTTTAATGTTTGATCAAAAGCAACCAATAACCAAAGTTTTATCGTTTGGATTTCTTGAGGGGTGGTGGGAGATTGCGATGTTTTGAGGCAAAGGCCTTGTGTTTTTTTTCAATGAAGTAAACTCGCAGATTTGTTATATTTTTGCGGGGTTTTTTTATTTTGATTATTTAGAAATAAATCTAGGAGGGTGCAAAATATACGCGAAGCGCTAAATTTTGTTTGCCCCCCCCCCGTAGGAGCTTCTAGGGGGGGGGGCGATATTTGAACTGTAAATTCAAAACATACACATACAGTCCAATTACCTTGCAAGTACTACTTTATCTCTCCTTCAAACAAAACTAGCAGAAAAAAAGCAGCAAACTATTTTTTTGTGCTCTTCACTATTCAGCTTCAGATTTGAAAAGTGTTATAGCTCTGAATTCTAGGGGCACACTGCCCCTCTGTACAGGTCTAGTGGGGCACTGCCCTCCTTGCCACCCCCCCCCTGTGTACGCCCTTGACCGTGAGAAATTGGACTGCTACACACAAAATCTAAAAGCAGTTATATTGTAATAGAGAACGCACTAAAGAGTGACATATATCATATAAACATACATTGCAGTTTCACATTAGGTTACATTTTAATTTCTCTTTTTTTCTAGGTAAGTTCAATGTAGTCAATAGTTATGCAAAACTCAGAGAAGACATCTTGGAAAATTGAATTGAAAAAGGATTGAAACCATTATCAGAACCCTGCTCGATTAAACCCCCATTCCCATATATGGAGAGTATAAAATATAGGAAATGGGACCGTTTTCAATTCCCCCCGCCTCATCCCAACCCTTGCGGTATTCTTTTAAACGATTAACTTTAAGTCATAAATTCCATAGGACCATAGAATATATAATGCCCCCTTTATAATATAAAACCCTCTACCCTTCTTCTCTATCCTAGATTGCACAGAGAAAATTGAAATTGTAATTTATAGAGGAAGTGAGATAATTACTATTTTGGGTTTCATACTTTTATACTTTCATCTTATTATCCTTCATATACCTCCTCATGCTCCATTGTCCTTCATATACCTCCTCATGCTCCAATAGTATAAGCTCCATTTTTTCCATCAAATATCTCTCCTATCGGCTCATGTAATTCTTCTTAGTTTATCTCATGATGCTCCATTATCACTAAAATCAGCTCCATTCTCCACATTGTAAAACATTATTTTTATTTACTTCTTGATATTTTTCCAAACAATGCTATGCTTCTCTAAACCCCCCAAGTTGCAGGGTTTTAAAGTGATGTAGTAAATTCCTTAGGTTTATTGATCTGCTAGGTTTGCACAGGACATCAACATACTTTTTTATCCGGCCTCCGGCCACTCAATCTATATAATATCCTTTTACAAATCTCATCTTTTTCATTATTATAAGTGGGGGTTAAAAGGTTTAATAAGGTCCAGTTAAAGGGACAGTAAAGGAAAAATTAAAGGGGGTATAGGCTGAAAGCTAATCACTTTAGCTCTTGATCGCGACCCATGAAAGTTTTATCTGATGTTCCTGTCTCGAGAAATTGATATAAAACTGTGTTATAATTATACGAAAATTCATATATGTAAAATTTTGAAAATCTGAAACTTAAATCACGTGACCAGAACTATCACCAATGGCAGAGCAGTATACTGGTCACGTGTCTCCGCCTGTATCACGTGACCACTTTACTGCACTGCCATTGGTGGAATTTCTGGTCAAGTAATACGGACGTAAAAATAATATTATGAATGAAATCTATTGAAAATAGAAACAACAAATATAAAAGTAAACCTAAATTACAATTAGCTTTCTCTGGGATATCATCTTTTTCAGATTGGTTGCTGTTTTTCTGAGCATGGTCTGTTTAAACCTACTATTTCTATACGAAATTGTATATATATGCATTTTCGTACAAGTTTGAAACAGCTTTATATCAACTCTCGAGTTAGGAACTTCAGATAGGCGTCTCAAGGGTCTCGATGAAAAGCTAAAGTGATTTGCTTTCAGCCTATACCCCCTTTCATTTTTCCTTTACTGTCCCTTTAAGTTTTTTTTTCTCTTATATATGTTACTCTATTATCTGTACAACTAAATTGCTCTATAGTTAATTTTAGTATACACTGTATATTTGGCTCGGTAGTATTCACTTTATTTTTGGTTTGGTATGTGTACACTGTATATTTGGTTTGGTAATAAACGCTGTATATTTTGTTTGGTAGTATACACTGTATATTTGGTTTGGTAGAATCCACTGTATATTTGGAATGATATTTGTACACTTTATATTTTGTTTGGTAGAATCCACTGTATATCTGGATTGTTTGTATACACCGTATATTTGGTTTGGTATGTGTACATTATATATTTGGTTTGGTGGAATCCACTGTATATTTGGTTTGGTATGTGTACACTATATATTTGGTTTGGTATGTGTACACTATGTATTTAGTGGTTTGACCTGGAAGTAGAATGGTGTGTATTACTCAACCAAAATGTCAGTCTATGCGACCGCAGCAAAACTAGAGCAAAAATTTAAATAATGAAAAATATATAATTTGTTTCTTTTCCGGGTTTAGGTTCATTTGTTTTACAGTTTCCTAACTAAATTGAGGTTGGTTTGGTTTTATTTAGTATCAATTTTGGTGAGAAGATTGAACCCTGTAAAACCTGGTAAAATTGAGGCAATTTCCAGGTATTTGTTTTGAATCCCCCCTCTCTCTCTCTTTGCACTCGACATTGCTCTGAAAATTGTCTGCTGTGCTAGAACAAATTGTGTGGTTGCTGACATGAGTTTACTAAACTTTTTATTCTGGTAAAATCAGAGGTTAGGATTACATATGATCATAGAACTGAGATATTAAGATTGGATACAGTTTTTATACAAGCTCTCGCGTAATTGCGCATCATGCAACCCGTCTCACCCTACTCAAAGAAAACACTACAAGAATAACGACCCTGCACCATAAGTACATGCTACTGGTCAAGTTTCTGTCGTTTTTTGCGGAGAAGAAAGAACGTTTTTGAGGAGGCCGGTCTTGGTATTAATTACAGGTTTTAATCCAGGATTTTCATATTCTTCAAAATTTTAAAACAGATAAATGTTTAAAAGAAGTTGATACTTTAGGGGCCCAGCAGATTTGGTCAAATATTCTAAATATTTTACACTGTATTTACTCTTTGTAATGCAGCTACTAAGTAGTGAATTTACTTCATACAAAGTTTTCAAAATCGCAAAGTTGTTATTCAATTAATTGAAACTTTTAAGTGGTTTCGTTATAACTTAAAAGCATTTTAGTTGCCGTGAAGTCTATTTTGTAGTTTCCTCAAAGTTTTGTGAGGAAGTTGCCTAAAAGTTGCAGAAGTTCCTGTTTTGAAGTTTGTTTGAAATGTTCCTTTATCAGGACTTGCTTTTTAAAAAGTTTTTTTTCCATTTTGCCCAGATGCATATCCAATATTTTTTATTTTCAAGATTGTTTTCAAGTTTTGGTGTTAGAGCAGACAAGGCTTGGACCTAATTTAGTCATGTTTTCGCCCCAAGGTATTCAACTCTCCAGTCTCAGATGCCTAAACACAAAATTTTGCTACAATGTTCAGTTTTTGGGGCCCTGGCAGATACAAAACAAAATGCCATTTTTTCGAGAAACATATTAAAAACTATCTTTAGAGGTTTCAGATTACATTTTTGTAATGTTTAAGATTTCGTAAATTTTTTATTGTTCTAATTCCAGGGCCCGCTTTTGGGATTTGGAATAGTTCTAGGGACCCCAGACACATTAAAAAGCAATCGGGAGAATTTTAATGATTACGTTTAATTTGCCCTTTCAAGGCCAACTATTGTTATTCCACAATTATAGGTTTAGTTCTGTTTGGTTGGAATATAATCTCGCAACCTCGGCGCTGAAAATTTAGAGATTTGACAGATTTTAATATTTAAAGTGGATTTTCATGTATATTCCACCTTAATGTCAGAGATAAATAAGAAGATTAATTCTTATCTTAAAAATCATTTTTCAAATTAATTTTAATTAAAAATATTATCTTTTCCGCTACGTTTGCCAGCTTTGTAGAACAGATAACTAATTGAAATTAAAACGATACAAAAAATTTAAATATTTGTGAACAAAATTTTATAAAAATATTATATGTTGAAGAAATCGACTTTTGTTGTTGATATGTTAAATGGTGGCAGTGTACGGTAAAAAGTACTGTTTGTTGTATTGTATGTACAGTGTTGAATATCATATATGTATTGTATTGTACATGTACAGTGTTGAATTCTGAATGTTATGACAGAGGTATGATGTAAAGTATTTAGATGAAATCTAGAATCTTCAATTATTATGGTAATTCTATGTGGCACTGTGTAGTTTAGGGTCAAATTCCTAGCTAACTATCTAGCTAGATATCTTACTCTGTACCTAGCTATCTATCTAGAAAGATATTTCACTCAATACATAGCTATCTATTTAGCTATATATATTAATCTAAACCTAGCTATCTATCTAACTAGATCGCTTACTCTGTATCTAGCTATCTATCTAGCTAGATCGCTTACTCTGTAGCTAGCTATCTATCTAGCTAGATATCTTACTCTGTACCTAGATATATATCTAGCTTGCTACACTAGTTACTCCTAGTCTTACCAGCATTCTGTTCTCCATATAGTACTCACTAGTTACTCCTAATCTTACCAACATTCTGTTCTCCATATAGTACTCACTAGTTACTCCTAATTTTACCAGCATTCTGTTCTCCATATAGTACTCACTAGTTACTCCTAATCTTACCAACATTCTGTTCTCCATACAGTACTAACTAGTTACTCCTAATCTTACCAACATTCTGTTCTCCATATAGTACTCACTAGTTACTCCTAATCTTACCAACATTCTGTTCTCCATATAGTACTCACTAGTTACTCCTAATCTTACCAACATTCTGTTCTCCATATAGTACTACTCACTAGTTACTCCTAATCTTACCAACATTCTGTTCTCCATATAGTACTCACTAGTTACTCCTAATCTTACCAACATTCTGTTCTCCATACAGTACTCACTAGTTACTCCTAATCTTACCAACATTCTGTTCTCCATATATTACTCATTAGTTACTCCTGACCCCGAGACTTAAGACAGAGTATCATAATGAAACCTAGTATCGGGAACCCAGTTTTACGATCGGGGTCAGGCTGTTTATTTTGTAGATAAATATTATTTCAGGTTGCTCCTTTATATTCTCTTCTTGTTTTCTAATTTCATAAATAAAGTCTACGCAAATCTATAGACTCAGGAGTTTCGTAGTTTCGTTTAAGAATACTCTCTTAAATTTCGGGCTCTGGTCTAACCAACATACTGTACTAGGAGTGCTTTTACCTATTCGAAATGTTTTCCATATCCTAATAAAAATATCTCAACCCTTACATGGAGAGAGAAAATCTGCTTGGTTTAAAAGTCCCAAATATCTAAGATAACTATGGTCAATCCTTGCATTCTCCAGTAAGTACTCTTCAATAGAGATCAAGAAGAATGCACATTTAAATCTAAAATACAGTTTTTTGCTTTAAAAACATTCTTATGGGATATTATTACATACATAAATATAATTATACACTGGAATACCTTTATCTCACGATTCCAACCTAAGTTATGCTAAAGGATGTTTTTGTTGCAAGAATAATGGTTCGTATTACACTCCGGTCCAAACCACTTTGTAGTAATTAAACACAAGATAAGAGGTATGCATGGGTTTAAACAAGCAGACTGCATCAAGAAGAGCCAAAACATCTTGAATTCTCACATCTTCTCCAGGTTCCCAAGACAGAGTGTATTGTTGATAACACTATTCATAGTGAAGATTAGCCCGGTGAGCTAGATGTGTCAGCAGACTTGATTAATGTCATTTCCTCACGCTAGGGGTCGGGGAGAGCAGAACCAAACCAAACCACACCTTTAAAATGGCGGTCAAAACTAGAGTTGCATGCTGGGAATGGTCATTCTTTAAATAATATCATTAACATACATATTACATGAATGTTTTTCGAATGATATCAGGGGCTTACATAGGATTTAATCCAGAGACGTCAGGGAGGGCGCAAAATTGAATTAAAAATTCATTTATAGGTAACTACTTGAGATATCTTTTTTATTTGAAACCGCTCTTAAAAGTATCCGAAAAAATTGTCCTTTTTATTTATGATTTCTAACTTTAAAAAGCCTTCAGATATGGGATTAATCTGAAAGCTATGTAGATCTCCAAGCACTCAAGATTTAAGTTTAAGTAGTAGATGACTTGATAATACAGGAGTCAGATCTAACCTACTATTTTCTTTTGTCTTCTGTCCAGATATGGTAGTTAATGGCCACTATCATCCGTTAACCCCTAAATTATACAATACGCTATAAATTACGGGGTTGAAAACCTGCAAAACATTTTGCATTCAACCCATATTAAAAACTATATTTCATAAAGGTTGAGCCAACCCACCCATCAGTTTCTCACAACTTTCATTCTGCAATTTTATATCAGGCTATTGTGCATTGTGTATTGAAACTTGAAACGTTTTTGCGAATACGTGATAAAGGAATTGAATCTTTGCCACAAACTCTGATTTTCAAATCCCAATATCTTTGTGACCAAATGTCGTATATCTTAGATATTTCAAACTATGAATTCTCAAAGATTAAATTATCAAAGTTTAAAATACCAAAGACTTACGCCAATATTTTGCAAAGTTATAGAGATTAGAAAATTCAAGTTTGTGGCAAAAACTCAATTCCTTTGGTTCGATTTTGCAACTTTTCAGCAAAAGACAGAAATATAGGTAGTAATAATAAAATTGTATAGGAATGTTATGACGAATTTCGCGCAATCGGAACAATTCTGATAATTTTATACATCTCTAAAATATTATTGCTTTTTTAAAGAATAAAATCTGAATTTTTAAAATCCTACCAACATTGAACAATATTTTAAATAATAAATTTTTCTAAATTCATAATCAACCCTTTTAACCTTTATTCATAATCAACCCCTTTAACCTTTATTCATAATCAACCCCTTTAACCTTTATTTGAAAGTAATTGTTTAATTTTAGATTATACATTTACAAGGTGAGAAACCCTTTATCCCGTTTACACCTTGCAAATTCTTCTCCTTGCATCTATAGTTGAGTATAATAGGCTTGAAGTATAGCAATGAGGTCCAGTATCCAAATAGAACTGTGCGTGATACTCAATTCTTCACGCTTTCATTCTTCCCTCCTCTCCACCCCTAGCTCTATACAACAGTGTACACTGCACAACACCCTAAACTTATGATTGTAAATGTTTTCAAAACTAAGTTTAAGAAAGCGAGTTCAAATCATCTAGCTTAAACTATTATGCAAAAACTGAGTTTCTGCCACAACAAAATTTGTAATAATAAATAATCTGAACTACTTCTCTATTAATAATAACGAATTAGCAACCTGGTGCTTTGTCAATGTTTACTGTTTGATTGTTCAAGTTTTTCCGAATTAATAAAACTAAAGGTTCTGAGACTCGGTTCAGATGTTCAGACTGTTTCAGGGTGCAAGTTACTTGAATAGTGTGTTAACTCAGTGGTTCAAAATTTTCTGGGTGAGAGTTGATTGAATTTTTTGTTAACAGTACACTTCAATATAGATTGATTACTTTTCATTGGTTTATCCCTTGTATTATTGTAATATTATGAGTGTAAACTAGTTTATCCCTTGTATTATTGTAATATTATGAGTGTAAACTAGTTTATCCCTTGAGTTATTGTAATATTATGAGTGTAAACTAGTTTATCCCTTGTATTATTGTAATATTATGAGTGTAAACTAGTTTATCCCTTGTATTATTGTAATATTATGAGTGTAAACTAGTTTTATGGATTTCTATAATCTCCTCATATTCCTAGAATATTCCCGGAGTTTTGGGGGATTTTTATTCATAGCTCACAGCAGTCTTCAATCTGAAATTTATTCACTTTTATGAATTTGTTGAAAGGAATATAAAGGAACAGTAGGGGGTGGAAAAATAGGTAAAGGGTTAAGGGGTTCAAACGGCAAAGAAAATGGGTAAATGGGAGGGGGGGGGTGAACAGGAGTTTAAATAAACAATCTTACAAAATTTAAAAACAGAAAATTTAAAAAGATTTATGAATTCAGGCGTTTGTAGAAATAGCTTTATTAGGTAGTATTTATAGGGTTATGTATTTCAGAGTACACATTATACCAAGTTAATGTGTTGATTTTAGCCCTTAAAATGGACAGTATGATGGCTTAGAGGTATTTTAGAGGAAAACATGGCTTTTAACGATCCGTTTCTTTTTGTTAACGCGCCAGTCGTTTTGTCAGCAAACTGTTTTAAAATTCCAAATTCTCCAAATTATTACATTATGTATATTTCTTTCTTTTGGTTTGTTGGTGTTAAACATTTTAAAGTTTTCTTCTCCTCGACCCTAAGGGTCAAATAAATTTGAGAATTTTCTCTCGACGAAATTTAATTGCGACCCTAATGAAAAAACTACCGTTACAAGTTTAAAAGGTTGGTTTTAACTTAAAACTCCCGAAATTCTTGCTTTAGGGCAGCGAAGAATGTTAAAATAAAAATAAAATATTTCTTTAAGAATTTAAAACTAGAATATTTTCTCAGGGAAGCACATGAGTTTACAGCCTGTGTACTGCATAGTATCAGTGCGGATACATCTTTGATTTCCTAGTTATAATAGTGAAACTTTAGCAGTCTCATGCTCTATATTTATAACCTTATAATGTTTATAACGATGAGTTGATGTTTTCACATGATTTTATGGGTCTAGCAATACTTATACTCATACGCACAACCCGTTCTAGGTCAATCCGTCTGGAGGATTTCCAATATATCCCGTGGTTTTAAAACAGTATAGAAAGCCAAAAATCGACAAACTATTGACAAAAAAAGCGTAAGATAAAACTAAGTACGCTCACGAGAACTTTGGGTTGCTTCAGATAAAAGATATTTTTAACTTAAACTACTAGCTTTCCAAATTAAGAGTCAGCTCCAGAATAGGGAGTTACCTCCAGAAAAAAGAGTTAGGTCCAGGATAAGGTGTTAGCTTCAGGATAAGGTGTTAGCTCCAGGATAAGGAGTTAGCTCTAGGATAAGGAGTTAGCTCTAGGACAAGGAGTTAGCTCCAGGATCAGGAGTTAGCTCCATGATAAGGAGTTGGCTCCAGGAAGAAAAGTTAGCTCCAGAATAAATAGTTAGCTCCAGAATAAATAGTTAGCTCCAGAATAAGTAGTTAGCTCCAGGATTAGGAGTTAGCTCCAGAATAAGGAGTTAGTTCCGATAGGGAGTTAACTTTAGAATTAGGAGTTTGTTTCAGGATAAGGAGTTTGCTCCAGGATAAGGAGTTAAATCCGGGATAAGGAGTTAGCTCCAGGATTATGAGTTAGCTCCATACCAGGAGTCAGTTCAAGGATAAAGAGTTAGCTTCAGGATAAGGAGTTAGCTTCGGGATTAGGAGTTATCTCCAGGATCAGGAGTTGGATACAAGATAGGAGCTAGCTACAGGATAAGAAGTTAGCTCCAGGTTGAGGAGTCAGCTCCACAGTGAATAGTTAGTTCCAAGAGCATGGACGGAAAGCTGCAGGATGAGTCTGCAGAACCTATTGTTGTTCAGATCTTTCTAGGTTCCTGTCAAAACATAGAAATATAATATATACTTGACAATATTAAATGAATCAGAACTAGACCAGCTTTCTCTAATCTCTAACTTTCTTAGGAATATTTTTAAACATACTTCTCACTTTCTCCAACCCCTCTCTACCAATTTCCCGTACGCTGAAATCCATTCGTATTGCAGTTTCTAAGTTAGTACCAACTTGTGAAAAGAAGACGTGGAATGTGAAAAATTTGTTATATAAGAAGTGTGATATCCCCCCCCCCCAGTTGAAACTTTG